GTTTGTCTCTCTCTGTTCCTGACAAACGAAGGCGCTGTTGGCAGGCGTGAGAAGGTTGAGGAGCTCCTTGTGAAACTGCCCTGGTGAGCTCAGGGGGCAGGTGGCAGCCTGTGTGATCCTCAGGTGACCAGCCTGAGCCAAAACACCACGCTGACAAGGAAACACTTCCTGGTGGTGGCCTCCCGTCATGCTCCAGGGTGCTCGTCCGGCTGTGACCGTCTTCTCACAGAGGTGGTGTCCCCACCTGCCTTGCCTCCCAGCCTGCAGGGGCTAGACAGTCCTACTCACTTGGAAGGACTGTCATCACCTTTCCACCTTCCATTCTTCTCAGATCCCAGGTTCATGGTCAACAGTGATTGTCCCTTGGGCGTGTGTGTGTCTGTGTGTGTGTTGTCTGTCAGTAGGTGGGTCTTTGTAGGGAGGAGCCAGAGGAATGAGGTAATAAGGAAGGCTCACTTGGCACCATCAGCCCCTGTTCTAGTCCACTGTCTACCTTTGCTGTTGTCTCCAGTTGTCTTCTTGGGCTAAATTCAGATTTTGCAAGAATCTGTGCCATTGTGTCACCTTGCCAGATGAGAGGAAAAACAGCATGTTGTCCATAGGCAGTGCCCCATGCGTTTTTTTCAGCTGGGTGTCCTGAGGAGAAGCAGGTACTTTGTGGGCAGTGGCTATTCTTGGGTTTGGCTTTAAGAACCAAGTACCGTCAAGGGTGGATGTTTTCCATTCTTAAAAAATGAAATAAAGAGATTGTATTTTGGGAATAGATAGCTAGAACTTTAATTCATAATGGTTCTTTAGTTTCACTTTTGCAATCAAATACCTTTAAGATTCCTAAGGCTGAACTGGAGATAACTCTTTACAAGTTCAAACAGTTAGAAGAGGGTAAATTTTCAGCTAAGATATTCCTGCTACAGTAGGAATGATGTTCGTATTTTACCTGGTAGGATGGCACCTGTTTTTCCCCTTTGACAGGACTTGAGAAGAAGCAAGGGTGGTTCAACTTAGTTGTGCTGGTGAAAGAAAAGGGACCTTGATTTTGCTCAAGTGGTGATGTCTCCACTGCTTCATCACCTTATGGGTTAAATGAGAATGGTGTGGTCACCAGCTCCAGGGGAGCCTGCCTCACACTTGCTAGCCATGAGTTCCTCCCTTTCATCAGGAAAAGAGTGTGATGCCTGGATAAATAAATAATGACAACAGAGGTCAGTTCAGCATTTTGCACCAGTGTCATTATTAATGCAGGGAGTGCCAGGTGCTGTGGCAATCTAGGTGGTAAATATTCAGGTCCCGTCTACTAGGAGTGCTCTTGTTTGGGGGTTAAAGGCAGATTTTAATTCATTTATTGGAAATCAGATACTTAGAATAGTAAGTGACTCTCAGAGATAACAGAAGTAGGTGACAGTGAGATTGGATGACCACCCTCCTCTCCAACTTTGAAAAGTTAGGTACAGAATATCTCAATAGGGTTCAGTATTTTTAAAGTATATATACACATACACATATACTTAATATATGGAGAAGGAAATGGCAACCCACTCCAGTATTCTTGCCTGGAGAATCCCATGGACAGAGGAGCCTGGCAGGCTATAGTCTGTGGGGTCACAAGAGTCGGACATGACTAAACCACCACCCTGCTCACATACACTTAATATATACATATACTTGAGATATATGGGTTTCCCTAGTGGCTTAGAATGTAATCTGCCTGCAGTGCAGGAGACATGGGTTAGATTCCTGGGTCAGGAATATCTCCTGGAGAAGGGAATGGCAACCCACTCCAGTGTCCTTGCCTGGAAAATTCCATGGGCAGAGAAACCTGGTGGGCTACAGTCCATGGGATCTCAAAGAGTCAGACATGACTGAGCGACTAATACTTTCATATATATATGTGTGTATATATACACATATATATATACATACATATATCCATATATACATACATATACAAGATCTAGGTGCTTTAAGGTTAAATATAGTATAAAATATGCCTCATTACCCTTAAAAATATTAGCAACAAATAAGTTCATTTGAGAGGCCAAGACCCTATTTTGTGAGTGTAGAGACTTGTGTACGTATCTAAATTTCTGCCTTGAGCTATATTTTGTAAAGTCTAGTTTTGCATTGCTGAGGAACTTTTCATGTTTGATTTTGAGAGTTTCAAAAATTTTACTTCTCTCTCTAGCTTCATGCTAAATACAATACAGAGGTTAGAGAAGACAACCTCAGTTTTGATTGTTCATCACATTTGTCAATAAGACATGCCTCAACTATTTAAGGATTTGTGTAACACAATACCAGTGTCTTCATGGGGAACTGTTCAAATTCTGAGGCAGCTTGTTTTTAACTTCCTCTAACCTGATCTGTGTTATTAGGTAAAGAATCCTATTTTTCTTCATCCTTAATTACATTCACAATCATAGATTTGTAAAGATTACAAATCTTTTTAGACAATGGGCAAATGTGGCATGAATGTAATATAAACTTTGTTCTTATTTTTATATTTTATATTGACCACACAAGTGGATGGCTGCTGTTGTTCAGTCGTTAAATCGTGTCTGACTCTTTGCAGCCCCAAGGCGTGCAGCACACCAGCCAGGCTCCTCTGCCCTCCACTGTCTCCGAGTTTGCTCAAATTCATGTCCATTGAGTCAGTGAGGCTAACCATCTGATCCTCTGCCGCCCCCTTCTCATTTGCCTTCTGTCTTTCCCAGCATCAGGGTCTTTTCCAGTGAGTCAGCTCTCCTCATCAGGTGACCAAAGTACTGGAGCTTCAGCTTCAACATCAGTCCTTCCAATGAATATTCAGGGTTGATTTCCCTTAGTATTGACTGGTTTGAGGAGAAACAAGTAGATGCCATCATTTTAGTCAGACATTTCTTTTTGAGACTTTTTTTTTTTAAGTCACATTTTTGAAATCTACTTTTTCAATATCCATTTATTCTGGTAGACTTTCAGTAAATGATACAATTGTGAGAATTTTTGTTTGTGTTTTTCTTTGTTTTAGATACAAATTGTTGGCTATTTTCTTGCTGTGGTACTGGACTAGTTATATTCTATGTCTTAGGAAATTTTAATTTAAATGTTTTTAAGAAATATCATTTTCTAAATTTTAAGTCAGCATACTTCACTAATATCCCTATGTAAATATTCATTAGATTACTGTTTCTATTGATATATTGATATCAGTAGATATCAATTGATAGATATTTCTTCTTCATTTAATTTATATGTATATAAATTAATAATTGAATGTCAATAGAAAATTTACATAAATTATTTAGATAAAATAGTAAATGTAAAAAATAACACATATCCATTTTTATGTAAGTTAGCCTGTGTTTTTGCCAGTTTGCTCAAATTAGCAAATAACTTTGGTGAGAGTTCCAGGATATAGATCTTTCATTTATAGTTTCTTTTATTAGCTTCAGCAAGTTGATATATTTAATATCCCTATTTTAAAATGAAAGATGTTAATTTGAATTAACATAAAATACAGTGTACAAAATATTTCTTTAAAAAACAAGCACATGATCTGACTTGATTATGAATTTGTTAATAGGTCAGATAATGATTCTTGATAGATGAGTTGATAATACCACATTCCACCTTCATAATTAAGTATCAAGGGTCTATTCTTATGCAACAATTTCTTTAAGGCTGAGTAAACATGATCTTAATTAAACACATAGATAATGCTGAGGGCTGTTGATTGCTCCAGTAAGGAAAGTAAAATGATGTAGCCTGACCTTAAGAAATTATAAATATGAGAATGTTGACAAATGATAATAGGTAGCAAACATCTAAAAGAGGATTGGTTCCCCAAGTCAATCTTGTGGAAAGAAATTTGGTTTGGTTTTGAAATGTGTTATTCAGAAGTATTGAGAAATGTTCCTTTCATATATTTTATACAAACTCTCAAATATGTCCATCATATGTTATTTAGAAGTAGGTGAAAATTCCTGTTTAAAGAGTACTGTAACCGAGATATATTCTGAATTAAGAAGAAATTATAATAAATCTGTAATGGTGGTTAAGGGCAGCTCTAGTGTAGGAGGATGGAATTACAGTGAACCTTATAAGTGAACTCAATGAGGTAACCTGCTGGTTTTTATTATCCTTTTCTAACCATGGTTATGATGTAGCAGTCTGTGCTGCAGAAAAGCAAAGGAAAGTAAGATAATATCCACTTCATCATCAACTATTGTGTTATGCTTTAAGGCTTGGGAATGTTACTTTGGAGTCAAATTAACCATTTTATAACTTTCTAGTATCAGAAACAGGAAAAAAATAGTGGACCTGTAGTTGTTGCCCTGTGCATATATGTAGCAATTTATTTCTACTCACTGGGTACCAGGATAAAAAACAGTAGGTAATATGCCTCTGAGAAAAGACCTTCATTGTTATTTTAATACAAACTGGAATCTGTTTTTATGATTCCAAAAATATTTATTTTAATAAGGAATTTGAGTATGGTGTGAAGATGAAAAATGAATGAGTAGTGAAATATTGTACATGTATCTTAGGCATCAGCTGTTTTATTGACAAAAGGCACAAGTATGAAATTTGTCTAAATAATTAGATTTTTAATTAGTGCATCATTGTAAGATTAATGTCATTGCGCTTCATTGCATGTAATTTTGTATTAGAAATTTCATGTCAACAAAGCTGCTACCTGTGGTTTGCTGATTTGAATCCTTATCACTTGTGTGTATGGCATGTTACATATTTGCAGTCAAGAGCTGAAAGAAGGCATTTGATTATAACTTCACTGGTGGTGAAGAATATTGATTGTGTTATATATGATATGAATATATTATGTTTTCTGCTATTCAGGAAACAACCACTTTTCAAATATTAGTGACTGCATATTGCAAAAATTTTAGAAGTAACATGAGCAGATAGATTGTTCAGTCTAAGCTATGTCTACTTTGAACATACTTGAACATTATGGATGCTAGGTTCTCTTGTTTTTTAAACTGTTTTTCCTTTCCTTTTGACAGTTGCCGAACCAGCAACCGGAAAAGCTTGATAGGCAATGGACAATCCCCAGCATTGCCTCGGCCCCACTCACCTCTTTCTGCTCATGCAGGTAATGAATTACTTTGAGTTCTGTTTTGCTTATTCTTGTAGTTTTGTTTTTTCTTGCAGTTTTTAAAAGCTGGGCATTTTGAAATTTGGATGTGTCTCCACACCTTGTTATCTTGGTTTCTCTGTTGCTTTATCACTAAGTTGTTCTTTTTGAGAAGTCAGCCCATTCTCTCTTTGAGCACGTCAACTCTGAAAGTGAGAATTCCTTTTTATTTCTCATGAGGTCTTATTTCAGTTTTGTTTTGTTTTTCATGTCTAAATTTGTGGATGATGCAAGTCATGCTTCCATGTTAGGATTTCCTTTTGGACATATAGCCATGATAATTCACATGCAGTGGATTAGTGTTAAGAACTGTAGGGAAAGAAAAATGTCTTTCTCTTTCCCCTCCTGACTTCTCCACTGGGAACCCCGGTAACCAGAGACAAATTACAGAAGAAAAGCATGCACATTTATTTAATATACATTTTATGGAGCATTCATAAGGAAATGAAAATCCAAAGAAACAGTTAAATTAGTTTTTACAGTTTTGATCAAGAGTGGAGAACTGTGCAAAGATGTATAGGACAAAGGTGGGCTAATCTTAGTAAGCTGGGGAAAACTCAGCAAGACATGTTTGTTCAGATTCTTCTGTGTCCCTTGTCTTCAGAGATAAGAAGGCTCCTTTCCTCCAGGTGTAGAGAGTGTGCCTCTCACATGAAGGTTTTATGACCTGCTTATGGGCAAGACAGAAGGCTCTTCCTCCATACGTTGTTCCTCATATCCCTTCACCTTAAAATATTCAATGTGCCAGTGTTACGTATTTTGGGGTCTCAAGTCCTAAAGTGTGTCAGAACTATTCAACATTTTTCTCCCTAAAGTTGAACTTAGCTGTTATATACATTAACTATCACAAACAATGATGCTCTGAGCAGTCTAGAACATGTCTCCTCTTATATGTGGGCAGGAGTTTAAAGTCTTACCTGCCAGTGGTATATATATATATAACTTACTTTTACATCTAGACCCATTGCAGGCACAAAGAAGATTCAAAAGATGAGACTTTTGGCCTCAAGAGCTGATTAGAAGGATGGTAGAACCACATTACAAAAAAACTATAAAATGAAGACTGCTTTTTATTTTTTAAAAAATTCTGTCCAAGGTGGTACAAAAGGGTTAATGCCAAGCAGGAGAATTTGGGAGCTGTTGAAGGAGCCACTTGCACATGATGTTGAAAGGTGCGCAAGACTCTGGTTGGTAGAAATGGGATGAGAGACAGGGGAATTCCTACTGTGTGGCTAGAGTGTGGGATGTGTGTGCTTGATTGTATGGGAATATAAAGGTGAAAAGAGATATGGGAATCAAAAAGGAGAATGAATTTTGACTTTGAGTGCCTTTCAGAGATTTTGTGGAGGATCTGTAGGAAGATGAGCTCAAGATTATGGGGGATGTTGGGTTAAAAGGACAAGTGATTAAGCCCTACCTCTGATATACTCTTGTGGAAACTCTCACATATAGGTGTTCAGATAGTGTTGATTTTATATTTAAACTAGGGTATGACTGTCTCCTAGAAAGCAGTCCTTCTGCTCAGTGGGAATCTCCAGTTGAGAGTGGAAGTTATCTAAACATATTTGGGGATGAAACAGGAGAGAGAAAGAGGGAGGTAGATGCCCCTTTGGAATGAAGTTTTATTTTCCTCCTAAATAAAAGATGGTAAAGTTATAAAAAGCAAATGATAAGTTCATAAAATTATGATACTGTATGCAGTAAAACTACTCAAGTCCAGAAATACTACTCCTAGACAAAACTTTATAGATTCTCCTACATGTATATGCAAGAAGACATGTTCTAGACTACTCATAGAAATGTTGCTTGTCGTAGCTAAACATTTAAAGGAATGCAACCCAAATGTCTGTCAGTTAGAAAATGGGTAAATGAATTGAGGCATAGCTATCCACAAAGCGTTGTTTAAGTAGTAAACAAATGAACTAGCACTCAAAGATGGTGTTGGGCATAAAAGCTAGTTGCAGAAGAATCGTACTTAAACCATACCTATAAGGTTACCATGATGCTACATGCAGTGTTTTCTTTAGGGGTACACATCACACACACACACACACACACACACACACACACATAAATATGTATCTGTGTATATACATTTGTCGGCTTCCCAGGTGGCTCAGTGGTAAAGAGTCTGACTGCCAGTGCAGGAGACCTGGGTTCAATCCCTGGGTTAAAAAGATCCCCTGTAGAAGAAAATGGCAACCCGCTACAGCATTCTTACCTGGGAAATCCCATGGACAGAGGAGCCTGGCAGACTACAGTCCATGGGGTCACAAAGAGTCGGACGTGACTTAGCGACTAAACAGCAATAGCAACAAATACACATTTGTTGTAAGAGTCTAAAGGAAAATACGGTCACTTGAAAGACCTATCTCATGGTAGCAGTTACGTCTGAGAATGTGTGAGGAGGTATAATTGTGGAGAGGAGTAAGCAGTTGCTAATATGTTTCTAAAGCCGAATGGTAAGTACACAACTATTTATGTTGTTACTTTTGTACTTTGGAGATTGATATTGTATTGTCATTTTAGTGAAAGCTGACCAGAGGGTCAAGCAAGATCAAATACTTCGCGTAGGGGCTGGAATTATCCCTTTGTTTTATCTCTGTCATTCCTGTCAGACTGCCACTGGTATAGACCAGGTTCTAAGTATATGACTTCCCTGGTGACTCAGAGGGTGAAGCGTCTGTCTACAATGTGGGAGACCTGGGTTCGATCCCTGGGTCGGGGAGATTCCCTGGAGAAGGAAATGGCAACCCACTCCAGTATCCTTGCCTGGAAAATCCCATGGATGGAGGAGGCTACTGTCCAGGGGGTTGCAAAGAGTCGGACACGACTGAGCGACTTCAAGTATATGATAAATTTTATTTCTTCTAAATTTTATTTATTTTATTACTTTTACATAGTTCAGCTGTGATTTAAAGCATTTAGTCCTACCTCTCTTTATAGTGTTCTGTATTGATTGCATGATACTGTTGTGCCCGTTGATTAGGCTTTTGTTACCATGATTCTCTTCAGTTCTGATATTGAGATTAAATAATATGCGGTAAGACTTTAATGATCCTTTTAATTATTTTTCTTTTCTCTATGGAGAATTCTTTCCCCTTCAAAGCATAGTTTTGTATTTAATCAGAGGAATAATGGGCAAAGAAAATCCTGTTTTTCAGGTTCCAAGAGACTTTTTCTTTATGTTACAGAGCCAGCAGGTTGTTATTCACTCAGAAACTGTAGAGAAATCTCTTGGACTTTTTGTGAGAAATGGCATTTATCGCAGTCTGGTTGGTTCCTATTTCTTGAAAGAAGGAAGAAACGGTTAAGTAAAGGACCCATCCTCACACCTTGACAGTGTGAAATGCCTGCTCACCTCTTGCTGTTGCTGCATTCCCTACTATGTATGGTCCACAGACACCAGGGCACGGTTCCTGGGTGTCCCCGTGAAAAACGAGGAAAAAATAAGTGCCACCTCTCAGTGCCTAGTCACCCAGCAGATACACTTTCTGTTTTTCTTAGGTAAGGATTATGTGTCAGGACACTCATCACTGACACATGAATTTATACCTGTCAAATGAATCGGTAGAAATGAAAACATTAATTTATTTGTGTAGATGTGTCAGTAATGCCCTGAGGAAGAAGAGATACTGGCATCATGTTTTGGAGCTTATCTCTGCATACAAAATAGCCTTTGTTGACAGACAGGGATTCCTTAAAGAACTGTGATCAGGACAGTCCCATTAAAAGAAAAAAGAAAGGTAAAAATCACAAGTTTCTAATGCTAAGTGTGAAATTTAATGCAGAAGCCTCAAAGGAAAAGACTGGTATGTCTCTCCTGAATTGAAAAGTTTTGCGTAACAAATGAAATCAAAGGAAAACAAAGTGTGAAAAATATTTTTAAACCTATAACTGAGAGACATCTGATTGCCTTAATATACAGAGAACTTGTGTAAATTGATATGGAAGTGGTGAGTGCACCAGGAGAAAAATGATCAAAAGATGTAAAAAGGTACGTCACAGGAAAAAAATTAAATTGGCCAACAAAAATGTGTGAAATGATGATTCATTTCTATTATAAGAGAAATATGAGCCAGAATAATGAGATGGTGTTGTTCACCTAGCATACTGTCAAAACTTTCCTAACACTGATAGAATTCGATGATAGCAAGGTTGTAGAGAAGCAGCCCCTCTCAGATCACTTAGGTGTTGATGTGAATTGGCACAACACTTTTAGTTAGTTTGTGATATTGGTTAAAATTTCAACTTCATTTACCCTTTGGCAAATCCACCTCTAGGAATTTATCTTATTGATATCTCACACAGAAACAGAAAAGGGTAAGTCTAGCATTGCTTATATGGCTTCCCTGGTGGCTCAGATGGTAAAGTGTCTGCCTACGGTGCGGGAGACCTGGGTTCGATACCTGAGTCGGGAAGATCACCTGGAGAAGGAAATAGCAACCCAGTCTAGTACTCTTGCCTGGAAAATCCCATGGACAGAGGAGCCTGGTAGGCTGCAGTCCATGGGGCCGCAAAGAGTCAGATATGACTGAGCGACTTCACTGAGCATTGCTTATAACTAGCAAATGGAAAATTAAGTTGTTACACTTTATATTTTATTGTACCCTTTATTTAGTATACCCTTTATTTATTTAGTGAACCTTTTATTTATTAAGCATCTGGTTTAGTAGGAAATAATACAGGTATATAACCTAAGACTTCATGTTTGTTAGAAAGAATGAGGTGGGGGCTTTTATATTCTGATATATGAATGCTGTCCAAGATAAACTATTCAGTGAAAAAATACATTGTGTAATTTTATATATGTGTGTGTGTGTGTTTGAGTGCATATACACATACAAACATACTTGTATATTCATGCATATTCTTAAGGAATTTTTGGAAAGATAAATTTAACAGTTTTAATCTTTGGAGAATAGGAAAGTAGGGAAATTAGTGGGTAGTGCTTTTAT